AATCGAATTTAACATAATTTTGAATCCTATAATTTTCGCCTTAAATGTTACGCTTTTTTGTATATTTATTATTCTACTTATGTTACCTTTGTTATAATATTATGTAGTCGTCGAGCCGTCATATTATTGTATTAATAAAGGCTATAAAATTTTTTTTTAAAAAAAACGGTATACTTAAAAAATAAAATATACCTCTGACAGCTGTTATCTTGACATATTTTTCATTATTTATTAAATATTCAGGTAAAATAACGAAACTTTTGAAAATACAATTTTTGATTTGGTCTTTGTGGATTGCATGTGGATTGTTTTTTTTTGACGTTTTAGACCAAAAACCCAGACAACATTTAGACTACTTTAGATGGCACGATTTCAATCTTGTAAAGATATACGATGAAAATTTCACTAGTCTATGTAGGAAACATATGTTTAATTTTTTGCTTTCCTCGTGTAAAAGAAACCTGGGTTTTAATATTAAAAAAAAATTGTAAATTTAATAAAAAAAAAAAAAAAATAGAAAAGTAGACAAAGAACTCTAATCTCTATAGACTATGTAGTCAAAATTTTGTCTGGCTTTTTTTTTATCTAAAATAAACAAAAATGGCATTTACTCATAGAATTAACCGGTAAAACAACTTTTTTTCTTAAATATTGCCTATACAAAACTCCTTAAAAACAGACCGCATGCAATCCCCTTAAGACGGCGTTTCACGCATTGTGATTGTCGAGTACTTGGTCGGCTTAAAGGGAAAATCAACATTGCGCTTTGTGTTTTGCATTTAAAATTGCAATTTTTTCATTCGTTCGTTTTCTGCTATACAAAATAGCAATAGCATAATAAAAAAAACCCCAAGTGTTTCCGACTTGAAAATGCGGATCACGTTTTCTTATCGGGGATTATTTTTATTTTTTTTTTACCTTAAGAAACCGAACATTGACGATACACGTTATGGAGGTTCTGGTCTTGGGAAATTATTTCCCGGTCACTGCGGACTCGTGATCGACGGGAAGCTTTCATTTTTTTTTTTTTCACAATTCTCGACAAGTACACCACATATAAAATATAAATATATATTTCGAATACCGTAAACCCAAATACAAAGCAACACTGTATCGCAACACCCGTGTCATGTTCACGAATCAAACAGTACAACAAATATAACATAGGTACCTATAAGCTAATAAATTACATAACGGGCTTATCGATTGTCATGACTTCCAGTGACGGCCTTGGCTGCAAAGGCCGACCGACTCGAACAGCTAACACGATAAGCTGTTTGATACACACACACACACACACATATTATAAAAAACAAAAAATACCTAAGTTTTTTGTTTGTTAGGTTTGATGGAAAATCTCGAAAATGCCGTGGAATGAAATTTGTTAGGTAAAGCGGAAGAGCCGTTTCCGAGAAAATTACTTTTTAACGGTAAATGACAGTTTTCTTATAATTAAACAAAACTGTACAATTTTTACATATTTTTTTGCACTGTTAAGAAACAGAGCGTGAAACGAAATTTTCTTAGGTTCACTCTACAAGCGTATCACCACTACAGCATTACAAACTATATCTTAAAAAGATTTCACTTCAACAAGCTACCTTTTTTTTTTTTTTTTACTTTGGTGAATTTATACTATAATTATACTCCTCTGAATTAAACGTGCCAAATACTGTGATTCTTAAGTGTAGTTTTGCAATAGACGTATCAATTGTAACGAAAATTACATAGGAAACATTATTTATGTAAATATATATAGTATTAAAAATCAAAGTGCTAGCAGATGGCAAACGTCACAATCATAAAGGCAGAGCAGTCACGTACGTCACGTGGTCCTATACATGATTTTGCAATTTCCATTTAAATATTTAAATATTTATCTTCTTTGTTATTTTTATAAAAAAAAAAGGATTTTTATTTTTAATAAAAAAAAGTAACCGTTCACTTAACTTTCTGCCTAACGGCCGGAACATGCTATCATATTGCTTTGGTATGGTTGAAAAATTCCTTTTGTTGTTTGATGAAAACAACCCCTTTGGGCTTCATCCTAATTAATTTTCAATATATTATATATACATATAAACATTATGCATATTATTTTGATCCAATGGTTGAAACAGAATCTATAAAAAACAGTTCCAAGTCGTATAGTTTTTCTTTAATCCTGAATAATAATTGTGATAACCTTAAGACTTAAATTTCGTTAATTAAAAAAAAAAATCAAGAAACCTATGAGCCTTTTTTTTAACAATAACTGAACAAAATCTTTTTTTTTTATACCAGAACCGACAAATTAATGAAATTTAATTAAAAAATAGACTTTAAGCAAAGTTAGTAGTTTACACAATAGTAGTAGGTATTGGGCAATTTGTCGATTTGAAAATGATTTTAATTGAATTCACTTTGATTTATGTATTATCGTTAAATCTATTTATATTTTTTTTATTCATCATCGGCTTATATTAAAGAAAAACCGCCGGGTTAGTGAAAACAACCCAAATCGTTTTTTCTCCAGAAAAAATATGATAACATTATTTGCTTAGTAAAATGTTAAAGATCAACTTACTTTAATCATATATTTTACGGTTAATAAATAACGGTAGATTTTTATTTCCGTTAATATGCTAAAAATACATTATATAGTTAACTGATAACGATTGAGGCTGTGAATCAGTTCGGTGGTAATAGCAATTTTTAAAGCCTTTGTGAACCAGACAAAGCGGCAAATTGATGTTGAAAAAAAAAACCACTAATTCATTGTATATAGCAGCCAATATTTTCTCAGCTTCACGTTCGAATAAAAATCATAAATTATAAATTACAACAATACTACACGATGTTTTGGAAAAATATTTATCATCAACAATGAACAAAAAGTATAACAATCGATTACAATCGCTCTTATTGTATAACTTTTTTTGTAGAAAAAATGTATTGCACTGAACAGAAGAAATTTTCATTTTCTTTTTGTTTAGCTACAAGATTATAGCAACTTAAATAAATATCAAGTAGCATCGGAAATCATTAATAAAATTACACGTCTTGTCGTTGTTATTTAAACATAAAAAAATATATATTAGAATTGCATCAGACCTAACTGTAGCTAAGATTGAATATTAGGTTGTAAGATGTTAATTGTGTTATCAATTAATGTCGATAAAATAAAATACAAAATTTGCAATAAAAAAAAAACACAACTTTGAATAGTTTTTATTATTTATTATCAGTTTGCACATTGTAAATTGTAACCAAATCTCTAAACTCGCTAATTTATCTCAAAGTAAAGAATTTTGATTTAGAAGAATAATACTGAAAGCAATTTTTTGTAAAGTATAACTTTTCCAACACTAGTGAAACAATAAGCCAATAGTTGAAATGTTTCTCTAAACCAAAAAAAAAATGTAATCTTTGTACTGTTATTTTTTACAAGTAGAAACAAATGTTATCTACAAATAAGATTTCTATAAAAAAAAATTATTTTAAAAATGAAGAAACAAATTTATTTTTAAAATATGTATGTACTATGTAATAGTATCATATTGGGGTACGTCACTAAACAACAAAATTTATATTAACATTTTTATTATAATTATTTAAAGATTAACGAATACAAATAACAAAATAAGTGTAGACAAAAGCGAATTTATTAAAAAAAAGACACATTTCTTTTTTTTAATCTAGACATATTTTTTACTTAGGGTGTAAGACCAAAAGTACATTCGACAGAATTTACAACAGTATACCTATTCGTTTTTGGTTTTGACAGTATTTTTAAAATGTTATAACTAAACCGTATACTTTATAAGTATTCTCAAACAAACTCAAAAACATTAACATTTTTTTTTTGGTAAGTATTATGGAGCGTAGTGGTTTATAAATAATTGTAAAAACAATTTTACTGTTGTTTTTTTATCGATTTTTAACGGTAAAGAAGAAAAACTGCTTTGTCTTTTAATAAAAGATACCTCCGGTATATTTGAATTGATCGGTTCAGTGGTTAAATAGTCACGTTAAGTACAAACAAAAAATTAAACCGAGTCTTTGAAAAATCAATATAATATGTTCTCGGTTCCGCTTCAAAGCGAAAATTGTTTGCATATAAATGCAAGATTACTGTTGGCAATGGAATACAAATTAACATAAAAACATACATTTTAGAATATTTCACTGATATTTTGTGGAGATTATTAGCATTTTGTTTTAGCTGTTTTATAAAATCCGTGAAAAACCCATGCTCTCGACTTATTGTGAGAATGATATTATTTTAAATATTATATTTTTTTAATTAAAGCCCACAAACGGTCCCACGAATGTTTTGAGACAGTATATTGCACTAAGTGTATATATATATTATGTACATAGGTGAATAAAAAATCGACATTGTCGATTAGATATGCACACTTTTATTATTATTGCAAAACTGTTTTTTTTTCTGGATAACTGTGGAGACGCCATTTTAATATAAATAAGTTTAAGAGGAATAAATCGAATATGTTAATAATATGTTATGTACAATGTGTGCGATAACGAGCACAAGTACCTAATACAAAATGATTAGTAACAATATTAAAGTTCAAACGTTGTTCAAGTTAGGCTCGTTATTGTTTCGAATATGATAAATAAGTAAACATCTCTGAAACTCGGATACCGTTATGATAATAAAGTCAACAGACACGGGCCGGAGTTGTCTGGAGAGAAACATCACACGCAACACTGGAAATGTGTTCTTTAAATATATTTTGTTCGTAAAATATTGAGACAGATACATAATAAACTAAGGTATAAAAGGCAAACAATTCTATAGAAACAATTCTTGTATCTATCTAAGATGGTTTATTCATCGAATGTACGCTTAAATCATATCTGTTAGTTTGCATAAGCGGTTTTCTTATAAAAACACGTGCCTCTTAAGTATTATCCGACTGATTTGAACTTGTAATAATTAGCGAACGAGAATTCTAATTATTATTTGGCGCACACACACACACATTGTTGTTTACCTGATATTCGTTTGGTATTCGGTTAACGCGCGACCAGCTCTTGTGAACAGCATCACATTGAGAACCAATGCCAGCGACCAGAACAGACCCACGGCAATGGCAGACTGAAAAGTTGGGCCTAGCAATCTGAATACAGCCAATGTGCGGTTGGACGACGCCGTCAGTGTGTCGTTGTAGCCGTTGAATATCCGACTTGTGTATATACTTGTGGCTGAAAAAAAAAATGGTTTAAAAAAAAAAATTGAGAAATGTTGGCAGAGAATATTGACAAGAGGGAATATTCCATTGAGATGGGAAAGAAGGGAAAGAAACGAACTGGTGAAACGGGTAACTTGATTTATTTAAAGGTAGATAGATGGAAGAAAAAAGGCCGTGGGGTGAATAAAAAAAATGGTACAAATATAATTTTTGCCGGCAGGGGTTTGATGGCCGACGCCAATTGTATGGGATGAGGTAAAATAAAAACCATCAGATCTTTGTTTGCATACCCCGTAGTCTTAGCATTAAAGTAGTCCTTGAAATGTCAATAGTGAATACGTCCCCCTTAAACAATTGTTCTAGGGCAAACAATATATTTAAATAGATAAAAAGTAACAGTGTAGTTGATTATTTTAATTACCGTGATATGAAATTTGGTCATAAAAAAAATGTACACCTACATACAAAATCGACACAAAACAATTTTTTATGTAACTATGTCAAATCAATCGCCTCAGCCGGTTCTTTTTATACAAACAGCATTTTTGTCCAAATTCTCATCGATTTTTTTTACCTAATAATAAGAAAGAACTTTTTGATAAGTAAGTTTTGATTTAGAGTCTGAATTAAAAAAAAACCCTATAATCTTCTTAGATAAGGCTTGATGAGAGAAAATAGTATACTAATTAAAAAATAATTGTGTAGAGACAAATTATTATTAGTATTTTTATTTTACTTGATTATTATTTTTATAATATTATAAGACCGCTGCCAATATTAAAACTAGTACAAAGACAAACTTACTGAAAAGCGCTTAAGATCAAAAGAAAACTAAAAAAAAAGTAGATTTTACAAGAGCGACCTGTGTAAACGAAAAAAAACTGTATTATTTATTGCTTTAATTAAAAAAAACAAAATCGCCATATCGAACAACTTTTGACGGAGTTTCTTTCATTATAAAATGCAAATTAGATTTCGGTCAAACGCAACACCAAACATAGATTCATTAAGCCGAGAGGTTAGGCAGGCACAGCCATTAAATCAACCTCGTTTCAAAAAAAATAAATGACCACGTTAGTATTATAAAAAAAATATGTATATTGGTAAGTCGAACAAACTCGGTAGACGATAAGTGGCATCGAATTATACATTTTTTATACCTACATAACGCTTAGTAAAAAAAAAAAGAAATTGAAAAGGATTATAATATTAAAAACTGTCTGGTATTTGGTAATTTTTTTCATCATCTACAAATGCACACGTTTGGGGTCTGAAAACTTATTCAAATATACTACAAAGGTATTAATAATGTTCACTGTGTTCAAGTTGTTATAGTCGCCATTTTTAGGTGCAATTATCAGAACTGGTCTCAAAATAAATGTTAAAAATTTAGTAACAAAAAAAAAAAAATAATAATAATTAAAAAAATTCCGGTTTTATGTTTTTTAAGTTGCATACAAATTTTTTACAAATGTTTAAAAAAAACAAATTGTAAAATGGAAAATGGAGGATAAAAAAATCAGTTTACTCTGGTTGATGTTCTATATTCGTATGGTGATGTGTAGTAATTATTAGTAATAATTACAGCAGTGTATTTTAACCTTGTACACTGTTGAGAGTTCCATGCAGGCCTGTGTGGTGCAAACGACTTTGATCGAATTCTATAATTTAATTTATAGCATTGGTGTATAACGTGACTTCTGAAAGAAAAACGGATGTACGTACATATTATATTTATTGCGGTTACTTAATTAATTTGTCCCGCTTGTTTTTGGCGAAAGCTCAACAAGGTGTGTTACAGCGAAATTCAATTAACCGTTTCACGGTTTGTACTGTGTGTGTGTGTGTCGATAGTGAAATATAAGTTTGAGGGCAAGGTTTAATCGTGGACAATGAATCATAGTCGGGATCCAATCTAGCCGCGAACAAATCAAATACAAGTCACAGACGGTGAGACAGCGAGGCTTCTTGTAATTATATTGAGCATCTCACATGCCGCTTAAGGTGTGTATAGTCTCACGATATTATTGTTGTCTACTATATTATGTCGACTTAAGATTCCGTACCTACAGGGTGATCCATTTAACGCAAGGCGCTCATTTTCTTCGAAATACTGTAAAATAGCATTAAGCAAAATGTCTCCAAAAACCGCGATGGGCTAAGGCCGAGTAATTATTATTTTAGTAAACCAAGTTTGAGCGACACGCGGTTCGTGTTACATGAGCATTTTCTCTATGTCAGCTTGCGACAACGGTTGTTCAAAATAATAGCACGCATTATTTCCCGTCTTAAGTAAGAATATAATAACATCTCAAGTGCTTGCACTAACGTCGCGAGACTATTATTAAAATTATTAATATTATGTGCTGCTTCATACGTGACCCGTCATACGTTTTGTAACCTACCGGCAGTTTGCCACAGTGGTAACGGTGTTGATGAAAAAACAAAAACACGAGACTCGGTCGAAAAATAACACATGGTATGTTAAAGTTACAAAAAAAATAAAACCAGCAATTTTTTTTGGAAATTAAACCTCTCTTCTCCAAAAAAAAATAACAAAAATTATTGCATACTGACCTACATAAATGCGATGTTTGAACACTTATTTATCCACTTATTTATTTACCACACTCTACTTATTATTTAGCGTGATAAAATAAACACAAACGTTTTAATAACAACCGGCGTGTGTAAATGATAATGTGATAGATAGGAGGAGGAATAGATGAGAAGAAGAGGGGGTGGGAATGGAATGTCGATAAAGGGATATCCATAATTCTTAAATGACTGATAAGAGATTACTGATAAGCAAATCAAATGATAAGATATTACTGATAAGAGATCCAGCTGATAAGAGACAGAAGACTTAGTTATAACTTATAAGCTATATATTGTAATATATCAAGAGTGTATTTTATATTCAAGTTTAATATTTTTAACTATTATTATCATTACTACATAGTTAATAAAAATCACGTTTTCGCTATTTGTTCAAATTTATAGAATAAAAACACTTAACTCGAAAAGGTAATTCCAAAGATAAAAATTTTAATTTTATCGTTTAAATCCTTTTTCGTACTTAGCTATTTGTTTAAAATGCGGGTTTCGATATAAACACAACATCAAAGAAAAAGGTACACCTGTTAATCCTCGACAACAAAAATAAACAAGAACGGAAAGCCGTTTTCGGATAAGCTACATCCGTAGGTACCTATATGAAACTTTCCAGCCATATTACTACAACTTAGGTAGTTAAATACAATATTGTAAAATAAATAACCAACTCGAATAAACGTTTGGATGTTTTTATAGTAATTTCACTACCTATAGGAACTTCAATATTATGTAAACAATAAACATAATATTGTTTACTATCTGCTTTAATTCTTAAGTTGAAACCAATAAAACTCTCCATATAAAGTTCAGCGTTATGAAGTAAATCTAACCTAGTCAAGTACGCATTTCAGATATGTTATACATATTAATAATTTATAGAGGAAAATTATAATCTTGAATAATTTATTTTAATCAATTTAATAAATAATTAACGAAGGGTAGAGAAAAGGATGGAAGAAAATGGTGATTAGTTGGGTTGAGAGAATGGAAGGAGTTAGCCGTAGTCCAATCGAGTTACACTTAATACCCATAAAGACCATATTAAATCGGTTAACTATGTACAAATGCTGGGTTGCATAATGAATTTAATGGTTAATTAAAATTTAATGGACCAATCACGGGTAACTAAACTATGTTTAAGGAACCCTTAAACATCTAATGGTACACTAAACGTTTAGTGAAAGTTTATGCAACCCGGCATAATAATACCTACTTACAATTTACGCATAAAGTACAGTTAAAAACGTTTGAAATGTATATATCCATAATATATAATTAGAAAGATTTTTTTTTTATGTTTAAAGAATTATAAAAACGAACATAATATGACAAACAATAAAACATTAGTTGTAAATACGGTGTTTATAATATTTAGAAACAACATGGAAAAAACAGTATTCGGGACGAAATTTCTTTTTTTTTCCAGCTAAAAATTGTATTATTTTCTATTAATTAAATACGTTTTCCAGAACAATTTTACACATTAAAAAAATCACATCTTCTTAACCACTGCACCGATTTTTTTCTTGTCTATACATCAGAAACTGTACATAAAAGTTACTCTGTTGCGCTAAAAATTAAAAAATTCACCATTTCTTTTGAAAATCGAGAAAAAAAATCCAAAAATTGTGGATATTTTTCTACTTTAAATTAAGCTACACTATAATTTTTTTAAAAACGTCAATTAGTTCTAAAATTGAATGGAATATTTTCAAAATATAATGGTATGAATTATGTCGGCAAAATCAAAACTCGTTGTCCCCTGGGAAGAGTGGACAATTTTTCTTTATTTGATTTTTTTTAGTGAAGTTAAGAAATTTAATATCTCAATATTATACCATAGATAAGATTAGATTGATACTTAAACTATACAACTCTACAATTGGTAAAAGTTTTTTCTTCAAAAGTCTATTTATCAAGAATATTTATTTTGTTAAGCTATTCCTATTTTAGTGTAATATACTTATTATTTTATTTACTAAATTTATTATTTCTGTGTATTATAGGACCGGAACAGCTTGACCTACAAACGTTATGGGCTAAGTTTTTCTTGAAAAATATCACTTAAGTATTATTCTTCAATACTAATAGTTTGTACCCATTCATAGACATCAGTGTGACTACGGTTAGTCTGTCTATAAATATAAATGTTTACACGCAGTAGTACATTTTTTTATGTTTTCAAATAAAAAAACATTATTTTAAGTCATTTCATAGTGACCTATATATATATATTTTTTTTGATTTGCCAATAAATTATTTTAAAACGAATTAATTTTGAACATTGCTGTTTGAGTAAGTAATAATATTAAATCAGACGTTTCATTATGTTAAGTTTTAATTATTCCAATTGAAATCGTTGAAGCGAGTAAATTAATTTATAATCATTATTTGATTATGTTTTTACCTGAGATTAAATATGTACGCATAATTTTACTTTTCATTAACATAATACTGTCAATAATAATTATTATTTCGACGATTCAGGACGAGAAACGGCTGACTTGAAATGTGTCAATTTTCAATAAAGAACGTTTAAACATAACGAAAACGACGTCGAAAATTAACTTATACCGTTCGAAGTAAGTTTAACATAAAATTAATTGACTTATTTAAAAGTATGCACGGGACACAATTTATTATAATATTTTATAGTGTATACTTTTAAGTCAATATAGACTCGTTCATATACGATATAAAACATGTACTGAAAAAATAAATACATTTAAATGAGGTTGTTGTAATTTTAGTTTTTAACATAAAATAGTTTTTGGATTTACTTTGAAAATAATTATTCAAAAGTGGTTATCGACCTGTCAACATTTTCAATAAATTATTCTTAATTTGAAAACTTAATAAATATATAAAATATATTCAAGTTTCAAAAGTTTATAAAAAACAATCTAATTTGGGAGGGGGTTAAAATTGAGATCACATTGTATAAAACACTACTGAAAAGGTAAGTTCAATAACTGATTAAAAATGTTGAGTGGATTACTTTGAGAAAATCACCCTGTAGAATAAAAATTTAAAATTTGGAGTTGTTTCGCAAGTCAAGGAACTATTTATTTTATGATTATTTTAGTGGATATGCACCATTTTGTTGTTTCAACGGTAACTAATTGTCAATTTTTTATATAAATAATAATTAAATCTGTAAACTATTTATATTTTACTGCGAAAATTATTAAAACAACAAAAAACACATCACTGTAAAATCATACTAAAGTCTCAGTTTCGCGTGAAAGCTAAACAAAAAAAAATAACGTTAGTTGGCTTTTAAAAAGTTATTAGGTTTTTTTATTTTATTGACCACTACTTGTCTTTTCAACATTTTAACGCTACACCAGCTGTTAATAGTGTATTACTATTAACTAAAAAAGCCACTAGCTTTTTTTTAAAAAAAAAAACAACCGTTTCATGGTTAACATAAATTTCAAGTTAATTTTGTACAAATCTGAATTACTCAAGTTTTATATTTTTTTTATAAGAAATAAAAGGAATAAAAAAGGATGATAAATTGCTTGACGAGGTTATGCGAGTTGGATGATTGTTATAGTATTATGATCTGTTTTTTTCCCAACAAAACACAAATGTCACGTTTTTTTTTATTATTTATTGCGCCGAATAAAATATAATTTGTATCCATTATATTATTATGGTTATGTAACGAAAAATCCGTTTATAATGTGAACTACTTATATAATAACGGTTTTGAAAAATGAATGAGATAATATTTTTATTTTAGTTTTCTTTTGTTAAAAGTGTAGAATTTATTGTTTTTCGAAAAAAAAAAAAGATTTGAAATTATGTTAAGCTATTATATATAACTAGTGGCTGCGTTTTAATACTGTTGTGGTTTTTAACATTTTTTTCGTTTTGTCCAAAATTAAAATTTTGATATACAATATATTTGTTTGTATTTTGTTATTTTATTGAAAATAATATACTTTTATAATATTATTGATTACACTCTTTAAGAACTCAGGTCATTTCTTAATTCAAATTTATTTTATAGTAAAATTAATAACGATTGACTTTTCGGTCATTTTTTTATATACAACGTGCGATAACTGATTTAATATTGAAAAAGAAAATGGATTTTATTCAATTTTTGGGTGTTTTTTAATGTAAAAAAGACCCCGAGTTTTCGTTAACTTTATAATGAAGAGGAAACATTTTATTAAATTCTAAAAACAAAGAACAAAAACTCATTAAAAGAATGAATATAAAAAAAACTGAATTTGACCAAAATGCTAATGAATGTTGTTGATTTAGTTATAATTTTATCATATTATCGCTGACGTCGCGCCCAAATTATCACTTTTGTTATGTATCACTTTCAGTTTTTAAAATTTTTTTTGTAAACCTGTTACCTCCCCATTCCCACTATGCCACGACCTCACTGTACTAGCTTTTTGTTTTGTACAAATTAATATGCAAGCCAAAAACACATGTGTAGCGCACGTCTGGTCTAGTTAAAATATAATATTTTCAAAACCGTCAAAACCGCAGAGAACACTGTCAACGAAAATCGACAGAAACATAATTATAAACCGCGCAGACACGGTTTACATGCTAACGGTCAATGGTCGGTGATGTGTTTACTATGAGAGAAGGTCTCATCCCTCGCGCACAACGGTGTCATTAATATACATTACAGGTAATATGCAACGTGACGATTAACAGTAAACAGTGTTATTGTTTACTTCTGGAAAATTCTGCGATATTATACCACAGCATATTGTCACAGATTATACAAAACCAGACGGTGCTATCCCATTTAAAGCAATGTCAGCAAACCACAAAACCCTCTCCTTCATTGGCACAACAAGAGGAGGGCTAAGGAGGTTCAGACCTTTAAAGCCTGGCAATTTGTTGGTATATCAATTGGTTCTTTTTCTATGTATTATTAAAATTTAGTATTTTTTTAATAAATTATTAAAAATTAGTGGATCGAGTTATCGAAGTGTTAAAAATGGGCTCTACTCAATTTGATGTAAACACGAGTCTAATGGGATTGTAATAAAATACAATCCCAAAATTGGACAATATGAAAGGTTTTATTTTTAACAAATATTATAATCAAAACGGATTTGCACAACACTACAGACTACCTAATACAAGATTGGCCATTCTATTGTTAAAACTAGCCAGCGGTTAGTATGCATTCAAGAGGGATATTTATAAGTATGCCAATACACTACCTTCGTACATAGTTTGCCTCCTTCTTTGAACGTGTGGGCGAGTCACTACTTTATTTATAATAACACAATGGATAAGCCATATTTTGCCACCCTTTTTGAATATGTGGGCGTGCCACTTTTGTATTTATAACAACACAATGGCTTATCCATCTCTGCCTCTTTATCTATAATTATCTATGTATCTATCATATAGTGTAAAATATGTCTGCCTCTTAAGTTTTATTTTGCGTACAACTCTAATATTTTTGGAATATTAGAAATCATTTTAAGCAAAGTACTTTTCAAGCAATTGTAAATTACATTTTTTCAACTGCTTGAAAACAAAAATATACATTTTAATCGAATAAATCAATCTAAATAAACCAGTTGGAGTTTATACGGTATGTATGAACAAAAATAATTAACCGAAACAAAAATTAAAGATGAAAATTGTTTCATTAAGTAGGTACTGAAGTTAAGCAAACAAGTTTTACACTTTAAAATATGTACTCATCTGTTATACGATGTTGATAAATTTGGCTTAATTATACATCTGTGTATTATTAACTACATAAAACTATAGTTAAAAAACTATCTGTAACCTTATATAGATAAGTTTTAAGTTCTTTTTGCACAAAATTAATACACCCACTCAAATGCATCATTGTATAATTAATGTTTTAGAAATGGGTAACTATATTATAATACCTCATTCTATTATACACTCTTAGGTAACGGTAATACTGTTTGTAATAGAACCTAGTTGTTGTTGACATCAGGTGTAAAAATATCTATTTACATGTTGGTACCGTCAACATGAAAGTGTCAGGTTAGCTTAATCTTATCCATTACCACTGAACGCATAAACTAGCGTTACCTAAATCAGGTTTTCTTGACACTGACCCGACCGAGATCAGAGAACTAACAAAGCAAAACACTAATTAATACAGGTAAATTACTCGAGGTAATGAGTTGTGCTATTGTTTCGTTCACAACGAAGTGATCTCTATTGGAATACCACTAAGAAATATCCTAATACACCCCAAACATAATGATGTATTGTTTTACACGCATATTGTATATAACAATGAGAATGTTAGCTCAATGGTTAGAAGTTAGAACGGTAATTGGATTAAGAACAGTTATGTGAGTTTATAACGTTTAAGTAAAAGTTAAAAGCATATGAAGTTAAGGAGAAAGCTAAGTTGAATCTGACAAACAATGATTTTAAAGTAACCATTTTAATAAAAAAAAACATTTGTCTTTGTTATTAGTTATTTTAATACGTTTTGAAAATCTGTTTACATTTTATTTATACTCGTAATAATTATTATTAGCATACAATTTAGTAAACCATCATCTCTTGATGGCAGCGTTGGCCTGTTAAGCTGATGATGATAAATTTAATAAACACTTAAATGTTTGGAAGACATACAATTAAACAAATATTGACCTAAATTAGTCTATGTTTCATTTAAGACAGATTTTAAAATTTTTTTAAGAGTGAATACTACCGCACTCCACCACCGAACCTAAACTTGAAACTTAAATAAATTTGAAATATGTAATTGGTAAGTTTACCACACAGTGTACTTTCTCCAAGCTTGGTAAACGATAAACTAGACAAGCGATTAATCAGGATAAGTAATTAAAATAAAGGAGAAAGAAATAAAGTAACAAAATAGAACGATGTATAAAAAGAGAAAGAGACAAAAGAAGTTAACGAAGATGGGAAGATAAGTCAGTGTTAAATATTGTAAATTACATACCGGCAGCCAGTACAGTACTTAAGCCCGCAGGAATTCCGAGTCCAAGATTGGCAAATGAACCCTTATCTTCTATGCATGCGACACTTCCCATGACAACTGCCAGTATTCCACAGACAATCTAAAAAAACAAGTTATAAAAAAATGGGTTTCAATAGGTGTAATGTAAATACATATCAAGTAAAAAAAATATTTATACATAATTAATTGTCAAACTTTATATTTACAATTACAATTTACCAGTGTTAGGTTTAGATAATTAAATAGTTCTCCAGATAAAATAATAGTTAATGAAATATTTTTTTTGAAAAAATAAACATATCTAATATATATATATGTACTTGTTTAATGTTTAAATTTTATCTTAGTGCTTGGCTTAATAAATTAGTCATCTGAATAAATGATAAAATAAATATTTTGTTTAGACAACAGTAAAAGACATTTTTACTTTAATACAAAACGTTTTTTAAGTGTATTGAAATCGCCGAACCGAATCGTTCATATTTATCATTAATGTTTGAATTTTTTCGATATGAAGTTATTTGCGGTATGTACTCAAAGGGGTAAATGTCAAAAAAGGGTCAGTCATGTAAAAAAAAAAAATGTGTAAAATGAAAGCATGAAACATTAGACGTATCGTGGAGGTTTGTCTGAAAACGTCATGAAGCCACAATATGTTGGAGTAATGTTGTAAGGGTGTGCATTTTTTATAGTAGACAAGTAAAAAGAGAGAGCAACGGCGTGGCAGAAATAAATAAATTGTACGTTGAACGAATAGTGCAATAAAAAGCAAGGAGAATGAAATAAGAAATTTAGTAAAATATATGAAACAGCCCAGAAGCCGTTTCAATAATAATAGGAAAACAAATAAGAGAGAAAAGTCGAACTGGGCTTGGACGTGTTCAGTGTAGACAAAAAGATGTGCGAATGGTCAAAGCGATAAATAGAAAAGATTGTGAATAAATAGATTTTACTTTTGATAAACATAAACCGCATACCGTACATGCATAAATCATTAATAACGTTTGTAGAATGCTTTAAAAACTACTTAATCTGTACACCGTAGTTGAGAAAAATAAATAAGCGGTTTTAATTGTTGTGTACTGAAAACAAGAAGAAAACTTGTCTTTTGCTCTTACAATCAATTACATTACAATAATTGTATTTTGAACCCAATCCAGAATAAGACAATTTTACCAATAGTAGTAGTTTTATTAGTTTTTATTCTAATGAGCGTTTTTTTTTTATTTCCATAAAGCTTTTTATCTTCTTTTTTTTTTAGTTCTTATTTTTTTTAAACACTTTTCTCGTGTTGGAAGTAAAGTTAATTCGTTTAAAGGTGATCCAATTAACGTAGGACGCTAATTTTCTCGGAAAACACTTTTTTGTTGTAATCATTTTTATTTATGCTATTTAATATTTTTAGTATTTTCCAAAGCGCTATCAACTTTTGAAACTTAAATGGGAACGTATATATTTTTTAATTATAGTAAGTATAAGTTTTAAAAATTGACAGCGCTCTAGAAAATACTAAATAAAGGTAAGTAATAATTGGTGACCGTATAGCAATGTGGAATAACATAAACAAAAATGTTTTCAAAAAGAAAAACTATACCATGGTAATTATTTCCCGAAAAAATGAGTGTCTTACATTAAATAGATAGGTTTTTCTTTATCAATAATTTCCATTGACCCCTCTGTAGGTTAAGGTTATAACAATGCATTTTTTATACACATAATGCAACATTTTTTTAAGTAATATTTCTGAAACTTTTTAGTTGACAAAGTAACAAATTCAATTTTAAATGTCTACTACAATTTTGGTGATCATAAAATTGGTTTATAGTTATAAAATATTAAAGTAGCCGCCAAGCCAAGTTGAGACATTTTCGTTGTCCATAAATATAAAGACGTTATCCGATAAAATAAGACGATATTATTTAGCCTCTAAATTGGTTTCACAACTTTTCTGACTTAAACGTTTTTTTTCTTAATTTTGCTGATACTTTAAACGGAGTTCGCTAAGTGTTTTTGTCGGGTTGGACATTTTGACAAATTATATTTTTTTCTGTTTGTGAAAAAAATTTGTTGACTGCAAATAAGAACATTTTGTAGGATCATATGTTATAGAGAAATTTATTTTTTCACATCAATATTTTATGATAAAAAACCCAAAGTTTTAAATAAACATTTTTTGAAAAATCTACACCTGGCTCTTCTAATAGTGTGATATTTCATGCGGGCCTTGTATATAATATGATTAGATTGAATAGCAAACACCGTTAGATCAAAGTATCTTGAAAACAGTATGACGTTTTTCGAGGAAATAATATAATAAATTTGTATACAGGGTGACCAAATTAAAGTAATCTATTTTATCTTCTAGAATTATAATATTGCCAGAGCGCTGACAACTTTAGCGACTCGAATTGTGACCCATAATAATATTGAATAAAAAAAAATAATTACCTACGGTGGGAGGCAAGTAGTACTTTTTTAAATAAGATGTCACGGACAGATGTGTAAAGGTCACTGGAGCAGTCTAGTATGTATGTAATTATGACGTTTAACTGGAGATGGCATGCAATTAGGATACATATTATACTGTATAATAGAATATTCGATTTATTTGAAGACTGGTCATTGTTTTTTTTCTTCAAGCATCTTTGATGTGAAATGAAAGTTTTTGAGTAGGGTCGGATGCTTGGGTTCTTTAGACGGTTTGATCATTGACATGAGGCCAAGTGAAACGCACCCTGCCCCTTTGTTGTTGATATTTTTTTTTTTGTTGTGCTTACCCATTGCCATATGCATAATATTGTACAGCGTTAGTTGAATTTTATGTTATAGTAATTTTTTCTATTGTAAATAATTTTTCAGAAAAAACGCTTATGCTATATATTTTATATCCATATAAATTATGTGCAGCAACACAAACGTTGCCATCGTAGTTCGGATTTGAATTTTACACCCTCATTTATGATATTTTTTGCTAAATAATCGCAAAAACTCAAACGCCATTTATTAACAATAAAAATTGTAGCCATTAATTACTATGCGGCTACATCGCCATTGTGTGCATGACCTAAATTGTGCGAACCGTTGATTGAAAAGGACAATTGAAACTAATTTAGTATTCTATCGAAACGTCATTTTGGAGTCGGCCAAGTCGTGTCACCAACGACGAATTTTTGGTATTGACATTAATATCTACATTTTTAAAATTGCTAAAAAACTATATAAATATAATATATTCATATTGGACTGTGAAACAACACTTAAGGATAATCAGTATGGAAATAACGAAGGATACATTAAATATAATACATAGAAATTTGTGTTCTGTGTGATTTATGATTAGTGTCAAGTGATTGATTAATGTATTATATGTTTTTCATGCATACTTTAATTTGCTAAAATTATATTATTAATAACTCTAATCAATTTATACAATATGTATATCCGATTATTTGATTGGTCTTAAACTATTGATTTTACTATTCATATGTATTGTTTATTTGTCTTTAAACTCTACGAATTGTACTTTACAACCTATAACATTGACGTCTGAGTCACTATATATGTATATTCTGTTAGACAGGTAGCCGCTTTGTTTGTTTTTTTTTTAAAATAAAAGTAGTTCTCTCTTAAAAAAACAGATAGAAAATTGATAAAATATAATAAGTATGGCCGAAAACGCATTTGTGGATAAAAATTTAATTTAAAGCCTTTTGGTTCGCATCAATTAATTTTCTGTTAAAATAAAAAATGTGATTTAATAAAAAAAATGCCATTTTTTCGGTCATAAACGTATTTTAACAAAAATTCTCAACCAAGTAATTACACCAAGCGGTTAGTGTAACTAATAAAAGTGGTTAAAAGCAAAATAGCAAAAGATTCCGGTACACTGGTTCCAAAAATAATACCGTGCACAATTTGGTGTTCGTGCCATAACAGACACACTTATTGTTCAACTCCAGTGTTTTAACCTAAACGTCTTGGTCACGCTATGTAAACGTTTTACTCCAAACAACGCTATACAGTTTAACCCGCACTGGTTTTCAAAATACTAATCCAAGTACAAGGGAAAAATACAAATGACCATATTTTTTATTTTTATTTAAGGCATACATAGCGTTTTGAAGATTATGGCATAACAGTTTTTGGAAAACTCTTCAATGTCAATTTATGTGATGTATACATTTTCAACGTCTTACAATATATTTTCTAACACCCAAACGGTGTATTTCTATCTAGCTGAGTACAAATCATGTTTTATCACCCCCCTAATTATAATATCATATACATATTGTGTGTTCAATGTGTACACACTAGCTGGTACAATGTTGATTCACTTTGAACCCTTTAATAGGCGTAGACGAAGCAGAACGTTTGCACTTCAGAAATAAATCGTGACTTACTCGTAATTTAAACAGTGACGCGACGTGACAACAAAAAGTTTTCCACGTGCAAGCAAAGTTAATAAGCCTTTGAAATATACCCAACAATATTACATGCATTCGAGTTTCGACGGATTTAACGAAATCATAAAGCGTTAGGTGTGAATTCGCTTCGGTGTCAAGTACTTAGTACCGCAGAAAACCAGAAAGTAACTGACAAGACGGAAAATAATATTGTTCTTGACTATATTAAATGCAAATTCGTGAAACGGTATTCAATCGGGCACGCTTAACGAATGGCTGCATAATATATAATGTATAACGCAGAAATTCTAAAAGGAAAACCCATCTATAAAGCATTTTTTTTTTTTAGGAATTCATAATTAGACATTTGATTGTACGTGAATTAAACGATCGGATAGTTTTTAACATGAAAGTAACATTGTCTTAGGCCTTTAATCTGACATGACCTAAGAACATTAATCTTGCATTTCTACATTAATGTAGCTTTGGCTAAAAACCACAAGAATTCTTTTACAAATTGTGATTGATGTGGTGTTGGTCATCAATAAGGGTAAACCATGGAGGAAACGGCATGAACAATTTTAGACGGAACTTTTTCGAATTGAATAAGGTGGATTTTGGTTAGACTTTGATGTTAACGGCAAATACAGGTTAAAAGGTATCGATCCAACTGTTCTACAGAAATGTCGATTGTATAATATAATAGGCGTACAAAGAGAGTAAAAAACACATCATAGTGATACCTACCTTTGGGGTTTAACAGCGTAACAAAGGAATAGTTGTCATAAAAGAAAATCATAAGCGAAAAAAACAACTTTTTTCTATGAAAAGAATATTATATTTATGTATATTTGCTTCTATTTACTCGCAACTGTGCTATTGAAGTTTCGGTTTGAGCACTTTTATATACTACTTCACTGTCTTGTGTAGTAATAATTTATAGTTCACTTTAGCATCTTGTTTCGATAAAATTTATTCGTTAATGAAATGCGTAGGTAAATTTAATTTTGAACGCCAAATATTTCATTAACCGTCGTTCTTTAGACCCTTTGAAATTGTAACATGTCAATATATATATATATATATATATATATATCACTCGACCGTTTGTTTTAATATTGGTTCCTTTTGAAGGTCGTCCACTTCGACTTAGCTGTGACTTGTACGATAAAAGAAAAATAGCTAACTGTTAGGTACATCATCCCGCCTTTAGGGCGGGAAACTCAACTATGTAATTTTAAGCAGTGGACGTTTTGTGTGTTTTCTATTTTTCAGGCGGATCCATTCGACATATTTAAGCTGGTAAAAATAGAATCTTCTTTGAAGGCACAAATTTTTTTTTTTTTCTAAACAAAATGGGCAGTTGTGCAAATAAATGAAACACATGAAAATGTGTTATAATTAAAAAATATCCACTTTATTTAAAAGAATATTGCAATTATTTAACATTTTAGGTACCTTATATTTCTTAAAATTAGAAAACTTAGTAAACTGAAGTCTTTTTTAAGACATCAGGACTTTTAATCCTGTACAGCTTGGTATTTCAAAGTGTATTTAAGTAAAACAAATGTATTGTTTAAAGGACCATTATTTAAAACATAAAAGTTTTAAAAATACATTATCGGATAGGTCAATCAACGTCACGAGAATGTTTGTAAAATCAACTAATACATTATATAATTGTAATAAGAATAGAGATTGATAAGGATAATCAGCTGCGGCGAGAAGCCTACAAACTTTTCATTCACGAAACGTCTTTAGCTTTAGCTTAAAATAAGAAGAATTTTGAATTTTGAGAGAGAATTTGGTATTTTACACTTAAGCCTTCAAACCGATCAATTATGATAATTTTGTTTTTGGCAATTTTCCATTCGGTAAAAGGGCAGCCGACTTGCAGATCTAATAAAGCTTGTTTTCAATGTAAATTATATAATTAAATATACTTTAACGACTGTAAACAGTAAATATCTTTTTAAATTTTTCAATTACAATATTTTATAGGTAAATTTATTTTTTTGTCCATTGACGTTTTATTTCGCTTTGAGTTGTGACAGGCAAAGTGTGTTTAGAAATTGCATTTGAACGGCGGGAACTTTTCCCATTATTAAATCATTTGTGAATAATGCTCTAATCTTTTAATGACCCGCCAAAATGTGTTAATGTGTTTTAAATACATTAATTTCAAATTGATACTATACTCGGTTTTTGCCCAAAGAAAATAATCAATAATCGCTTAACAAAAGAGGTTCATTAGTTTGTACAATATCATCATTGGTCTCAAAAGTTGTTTGATTTCCCAACTTTTCCAAATAATATATTTATTATTTTTAATTTAAATTTTAACTGTTTCATCGTTCTTACTATTGCACCAAAAATATGTCTTTTCTTTTCATATTCTCCCCGAAGTTCTTGTGGGCTTATTTTGCTCATTTATCTGTTAAAATTGTAAATAAAAATCGCAATTTACATGCCACACGCGCGAATAGGCTACATAAAAGACAATGTTTAGTCCCAATTGCAACGTTGGTTTTTTCCTTCTAATATAAGCCAAGCTTGTTTTTTCATATGTGCTTTGTTTGAACGGCGAACAAACAATTTCATTAAATGTTTTAAAATCGTTAAGCGATGTTGGACCGACGACGTTCAGCAATAAAAGCCTCAAATAGAAACGCATTCTTTATGACTCGGATAAATTTTCTCCAATGTTTCAGTAAGTTTCAAAAGATAACTTAAAATTCCTACGACGTGAATGGAAATGTTATACTGGATTTTTTTTCTTCAAGTTAGAACAAAACAACAAAAAAACCTATTTTTTAATTAACTTTTCTATTCGACACGGATTAATAAAACAATTTGTAGTCCTGGTCATGTTTTCGGAGATACATTTTTATTACACTTGTATTTTATGTTTTCCGTTTTAAGATGGACACTCAGATTACAGCGGAAAAACGACCGTGAACGAAAACGCTCAAAATTGGTCCTAGTCGGAATTGGGTAATTTTGCCATTTTCTCTATTTACAGTGTCCAAAGCCAGAGTCACTATTTAATTTTAATTTCAAAAGTTTTTCAGCTGAGTCTGCAACCACAAAAGAGTATTTTCATTTCTAGTTGAAGTATCGAATAAATTTAGAGTATATTAACAAGCTAGTATTAGTAAGAAGCAGTAACAAGCTAGTATATTAAATAAAACATCAAGTTTCTGGCTAATATTGTAGTGTTTATTATTTGGCTAAAACAATTCATAGAGAAATTGGGCCCTTAAACTGTTTTGAATGTATTGTTTAGTTCTAATTTGAACGTTGAACATACAACATATCTCTTATCTCCTATATCTTACCCCTATCACTAACCCCCTATCCCCTACCCCTATCTCATATCTCATATCAGATAACAGCGTAACTCTTTTTTGGTAACACTTTTTTTGCTATGCTTTTTTCGGTTATTTTCCACAGCTAATTCCCACCCTCAACCTCATTCCCACCCCCCCCTCATCTTCATCCCCATTTATTTTTTGGTAACGCATTTTTCGTTACAATATTTGCGTTACAATATTTGTGTTACATATTTTCGTTATAATATTTTCGGTTATGTGCCAGAGCTAAGACATGAAAATGTCAAAAAGAAAACTAAATATTTTTAACACAAATATACGTTTTTTCGGATTTAAAAGAAAACAAACTGAGTCGACCTAACCGTTACGTTCACTTATCACTTAACCTATAGTTAAACAAACATTTTAATTGATAAGGGATTGATAAGAAATACTGATAAAAAATTTTGATTATCACATTAGTGATAAGACAGTTTCTTTTCCAATCGATTAATTGGTGATAATACCGACATTAAATATTTGGACAAAAAGCTTTTTTTCATTAAAAAAAAACCCACTTGCTCTTTTAAGCTAAAGCCAAAACACCTTTTCATGCTTCGCCTTTTTTAGGTTTTCCTCAACATTACCCGCAGCAACTTGTGAAGTTGTAGTTGCGGAGTTAAATTCGAATACAATTATCGTTTCATCTGAATGCGTCTTACCTGCAAGACACGCACTCGGAGTATGTGTGAAAAAAAATAGTATTCAATATCGCTTTTGTCGACACTCGCTAATCTTGTAACTATAACTGGAATATCGTCTGCTGTATTCGTCACTTGGGTAATCAGCGATTCGTGTTTTCGATACATCTTTTCTGAAAGAAAAAAAAACATCTACGATAAAGTACAGCTATAAACAAATATATTTAAGAACCCGGAAAATATAATTCGGTTTTGTAATAATGATGTATCAGTCGCAAGAGCCAGTCGTACGACCACACTCGATTGTCTTATAATATGACTTTAACACAGTAACGATTTGAAAATTAAACTCACGCAATATCATAATTTACCTGCAGACTGAACTACAACACAGATATGTAATTAAACTTTTAAGTTTAAATATAAAATAATAATTATCATCACGCTATCAGTTATAATATTTTAACTTTGATAAAGAAATAGATAACAATAAATCTTCATGGAAAATTCACTGTCACTGGGCATAGAAACTTAAACGAGAGAATCACCCGAGAACCGTGTTGAACAAAAATCTTCATTTTATGCTTTTGTTTTTTGTCTGTTATAATATTATATATCTGTTTACACGTGTGTATGTGCAAGAACAGCCTCGGGGTAAATTAATATAAAGACATGGACACCAACGTTGTTTACCGATTGTGTGTTAAAACTATTCGGCACGCGACTCCTTTGGAATAAAGGTAAATATGGATGGAAGTAATAAGATAAGCAAACATCGAATCCTTTTAGTTCAAACAAAACCTATATTATATCATAATATCGGAAAACCCCAATAAAAAAAAGAAGAAAAAGGATAAGTAAAAAATACCTTGATTATTATTATTTTTAACCGTACGTTTTCACTTTCTTCAACAATTGTCATAGTTTTTAATAGTAAACGTGAAAATGTTAAAATTCTGTAATCCGAAATCCATAAACCTTTTTTTGCAATCCCAATATCAGATTCTGAATCAATTCGATTTGAAAATGGTGGCTTTCACGATGGCGACAGAACGAATATAATTGTCGATTGTGTCAATCTCAATTAAATATATTTACTTACTAAAGTAAACTTGAGCGTAATAATATACTGTCTTTGAAAGAAAAAGAACTATTTAAAAACTTAGACAGTAAGCTTACAGTTAATAATATATCAAGTAAATTTACAAATTTACCGAGCTCTACTTAAGAGTTTAATCAGTCCGCACCGTCATAGTATAAAATTAATTTAAATACACTTTGTGTCCTAAGTGGTGGTTAATGGAATTATACAAATTAGTCTCGTATTTCCGGCAAAATATAATGCAGGAATAATATTAGCCGGTTAGGTTAGGTTATATTATGTCAATGTAGCAATTATAATTACCTAGTACAAAAAAAAAAGCTCACTTTAATACGTTAATTAAATTTAAGGATTAAAACCCAACGGAAACTTAACGGAGGTTACTTCCTGTTCAAATTTCGGTATTAATTCACTGGAATATAGTATAATGTATTAGATTATATTATAACAATATTATGGCTGTATTACTTACACAGCTGTAATCATTTATAAAGCGGATTGTGTGTATTATATGCATGTTATAAATATGATAGTGGCCAACAAAGTAGTTTAGGATGATCATGTTCTACCAACATTATATTGTGATAAAATATTTTATTAAAAATATGAGCCTTATGAGAGGAAAATAACCTTTCACTAAACGATTTATATAAATTCAATGTATAAATAAAGATTATACTTTAAAAATAACATTTGTATGCGTGGAGAATATTTTGTTATTCCGATTTAAAAATATAAGATTTCTGTAATAATGGTAAAATTTTTTATTTTTAAATTGTCTGAATTGTGAAATTATAATACATTTTTTTTTAAACTACGAAAATATACAGCATATATATATATATATATATATATATATAGTAATTATTCATTTTTAATTTAATTCCATTCATAATTTAATTTATTTACAGTTATAAAAGAAATGTAGGTTCATAATATTTTTAAAAACGACAAAAAAAAACCATTATTAATACAATACCTACGTATAACAATGTGGATTGTTTAATTTTCAAGTAAATCTAGTTTTACCATTTAACCTTTGTTCTTTGAGTAAGAGGCTTTTGACTTCCGGTTCGGACACTACAATAAAATATATATATTTTTTTATTAAGAATAACGGCGGCTTCGACAGCTATTCAACATATTAATAATAAATACGACTTGAACAAGTGCACATAGTACATACATATTTACATTTGAATAAACTATTTAAAAAAAGTTTGTACGTTTTGTAGGATTGTAATAATTAATAGTTGCATCGGTGTTGGTTTTACCTAATGCTTTCTCAATGTTGGTGGGATGATACCTAAGATGTGTGAGGCAAAAATATAATATAAAATATAATGATATTATCCTTTTCCAACGTTTAGAATTTCTTCAACTTTTAAAATTCTACCAATCGGTATATTTTTATTCTTTATTCACCAGAGATTTAGGAGTTATAAACTTTTCTCGACTTGTGTGGTCCGACGTTTGTGAAAAGCTCAAAAGGTCAGGAAACCCTATTTTACCCACATCTTTTATTTATATTTTGTATTGATCCTTAGAGTGAATATTACTTATGTACTTAATTCTATGAGCCAGCAGCACACTGCTGTGTCCAATACGTTTCCTTTACACGGACCGATGAACGGTTATATTATTAAAATAGTTTGTGATAGAAAATTACATACACATATAATTACTACAGATAGATTAGGCTGGGTAAGTCCCAATTTTAGAATACAGAAAAGACATTGCCCGTTTGAACCAATAAACTATATTGATAAGTATTAAATAGCGTGAGAGTATCCAGAAAGTTATTTTTAAATACTTGGTACAATACCAGATCTTAATCTTAAGGTAAAGCACAATACGCTGTACATTATCTAAATGATCAAACATTACCAGATCGATGCGAACACTTTGATGTCGAATTCATTTCCCATAATTTAAACGGTGGATAGTTTAAAATGATTTAAGAATATTATTATTTAAATGTAGGTACTTTCTTTGAACACCATCAGAAAAAACATTTTACATTAACCGCCACAGCCAAAATTACAGCTACAAACGCGCTCGTTAATAATAATAATGGGTTGTAAAATATGCCAAAAGATGTTTTTGTTATTATCATTATTTTTTTTAATTTATAGGTTAGTTTGATTTGAATATTTTATATCTAACGTGCTATGTTTTTATACTGGATTATTTTGTTTATAGATTATTTGAATGTATATCTTAGAAAAAATATACACTCTAGTACTTTGCTTTTGACGTTTAATAAATAAGCAAATTCAAAAAATATATATATACCATATAAAGAAGTCGATACTACAAGTTCAGTAACATTTCCACTAACAAAAACCAAAAGACAAACAGAAAAAAATATAGACACATATAAATTTGTCGAGAGACATTTCCCGTTATTTGAATAAGAAACTCAAAGCCAAATATCAATTTCAAAACAAGCAAGAATAAAAAAAAAGTTTATTGAATATTTTATACAAAAAAAGTGGTTGAATTTAAGAATACTAATTAGTTAAGAGATGTTTTTGTTTGAACAAAAAAAACATGGTCTAAATATTTAATTACACGCCATTTACATTAATCAGTAATTTAAAAACCTGCTCCGAGAAATAAAAAAGATAATGTCTTCGAAATTTCACCTACTTTACGTTGTCTTTTCAAAATGTAAAGATTACATTTATTTAAGAACACAAAGAAAATACTTCCTTTTTCAACCGTATCACAACAATTACTTATACAGTCGTAACAAGTACAAAGAAAATAAACAATTTCCAACAAAATCATTTCCACAGTTCTAACCAGAATGAGAAGTCAATGATAAGATAAAGAATAAATAATTTTGTACGGTTATACTAATTTTTGTCATTAATATATCGGTTAAAAACTTAACGTGAATAAATAAGTAAAATAGCCAGCACAGTGGGGTGGGGTGGGACCTTGTGGGGTTGGAGTATAGTGAGGTCGGTGTAGTCACATTACTGAAGGAATTATTAAAACTGAGAAAGATGAAATCAACTACAAAAATAAAACGCTTCGATGCCAATCTGTTGCGGGTACTAATATATTGAAAACTGATAAAAATCATTGTAATGGAACTATCCATGTTCTGGTAATATCAAAACAGTGTAGTAACTTCTTGTCTACCGTTTTGTAAAAAAAGCCTAATTCTCATTTAAGGAAGTTTTAGCGCCGTTATCTAGCAAAGGTCTCGTTAGACGGATCAAAAGTCAGGCCGAAAGTTGTAATTTAATATAAATTTATACAATGAATCATCTTAAAACATTTTATTATTTTTTATTTTACTTATATACTAAGTTATTATTATTAACTGAAATTATTTTCCGAGAACATATCGTTGATTTGTCATGTAAATTACAGTTATTAAATTATGTGTCGAGGAAGGTATTTGAATAAAATTATTATAAACATTTGTAATACAAAATAAAGATTAAAAAAAAAAAATGGCTATTTGCAGTAACTATTAATTTATCTTGTCGATAACGTTATAAAGATAAAACATCAGAGTAAAACCAACCTAACAATACCTTCTCGCTTTGCATCGAAGCTAAAAAACAAAATGGAAAATAGAATTAATAACTTGAAAAAGACACACAAATACCCGAAGATCTAAAAACAATAATGGAGACGACACGAATTTTCAATAATTTTCAGATCCATCAAGTGGCTAATAAATCCCTAGTAAATCACATTCTCTTAAAACATACGTTAGAAACAAAGTAAAAATCCTTAAAATATACCTATATATATAAATAATGATTTTGATAAATTGGGTGCCGTTTCGATATACTTTAAGGCGTTTCCAGATTGTGCTTGCAATAAATCACCACACTACAATCTGCAGAATATTCAAATATTTTACACGGTTTTGTCGGCCCCAAAACGGTTAGGTACCGCCAGAAATAAGGACGAATGTTTTTTCCCCTCTCACACCACACACGCACCCTTTGTTGTCCGAGAATGATGAATGGAGACAAATGGTATTTTCCAAATGCGTTTTATTTTCGATTTAACCGTACAGGTCGTGCTCGACCATTTTATTGA